AAACGCATAAATAATGCCAACCAAAAAAGCGCGCGCCTTTCCCGGTCAGGAGGGCGGCCAGCGCGGTTGTGTCAGCGTCGCTTCTGGGTCCCTGATGACGTCACATTGACGTCATTCCCTATCGACCGGAGCTCCCGGGTTGTTCGCCCCGCCGACTCCAAACCCGGATCGGGGGCGGCTCCGCGAAAGCAAACAGGAGCAGCGCGCCAATTGAAATCCCACCAAATGAAGGGATAACGACGCAGAGTCCCCTACGGCGCACGCGCAGCGGGATGGCCGCGTTCAGGGACCTCTTTTCGGGCCCACGTTGCCCCGGCTAGAGTGTAATGAATTGGATTGGATTTGTTCTGGATGGCGCGAAAGGGGTAGATGCAGCTTCAAGAGCGGGACCATTGCAGCGAAAGGCCAAAGGAGAAGACATCATCAGCACGTTACTTTGCAGCAGGGCCGTAACCAGGAGGGGGGTTAGGGGGTTCTGACCCCCCGCGAAATTTTTTTCTGGGTACGGCCCTGGTCGGTGCACTGGCAGCCAGCCGATTTCAATCTTCACCTCTGCGCACGCGCAGTGGCGCCGGTCGGCTACCGGGTACCAAACCGGGACCGGTTCTTTGGTTGCTGTAACTCTCCATTATATGCCACCGATGCACATGATTCATAGGCGAAAACAAGACAATAGACACTTTCAAAATGGCCGCCGTTGTCTCCGAAACCCCCCCCCCCCCCCCCCCCCCCCGAAATTTTTTTCTGGGTACGGCCCTGCTTTGCAGTACTTTCAGATCGACAATAAGAGGGCGTAATTTTTGAAGGGGTCTGTACATGTTTTTTTTTTGGGGTTTTCGTGACACTACCGGCCGCCATGAGAGGGGGAGAGAAATACTTCCGTTTCTTCCATGTTTACCTCGTCTTTGGGGTAATGTGCGACGACCGTTGGTTTACTAGCGAGCAATTACGTGAGAGCTACGCTCTAGAAATACCCCAGTGTCGCTCTACCCCGAAGGCAAATGATCCTGTATTTTCGGGATTTATTTTTCATTGAATTCGGGCGTAAGTGGACGTCAGATTTGGCTCCTAGTTGTCTCGACGGATGACAGCGAGCCACTTTCTTTTAGATGAATATCAGCGGTGAGTTCATGAAAAGATAACCATCCAGCTTCTTCTTTTCGTCCGATCTGCATCGGGGCACACAACAGTAGGCCGTTTCAACGAGCTTTTGTAGCGAAGCGAACGCAGACCACACCGAACGCCGAGCACAAACCGGCCAAACCGCGCGCCAAAGCAGACGACGCTAATGCCGCCAAATAATGATGATGATATTAAACCTGTTAACATAGCGCCCTCTAGCGGTCGCAACGAGTGGTGCGCCGACGGCTCCTCGAGGGCGTTTAGCCAGGCACAGAAAGTATACAGGAGGCACAGGTTGCACATATCGTCCGAGGAACCCGAAGGAGTCTTCGATATTCGTCAATGCCGTCCTCAAGCCGCCCTCATACAACTGGTTTTTAATTTCACATCCTCTGTGTTGCATCCACCCATTCGAGGCAAGAAACATCTTTTACAGCAGTGCTGCTAAGGGCTAGTCTCCCCAGGGATCGTGTCCCCCGCAAAGAAATGAAGACACCGAACTCTGGACACCTACCGCCATCTATGAGCGACGGCGGCAAGCCACGCATCTGGTTGCCGCCTTTGCTCATAGATGGCGGCAGCCTTTCCACTTTGGCTTGCCGACTTGCGGCCGGCCATTACTTTTCATTGTACAGCTCCGCTGGTGTTCCTTCTCCACCAGAGTGGAAAGGCTGCCGCCATCTATGAGCGAAGGCGGCGAAAGTCTTCTTTTAGCAAGATGCAGTTCGTTGTTTTGTGCATCTAACAGCGCTGCCGCTATAATCGCGTAGTACCGTCTCCATGTACACCTCCATTTTTCTACACTCGTCAGCGCGCACCGAGCCCTGTGGTCTAGAGTGCGACCGCTAAATGCGTTTGATAACACTGATATCCAGCGTGAATACCCCTCAACCGGCGATTGGGCAGGCATTAGGAACTTTAGGAAAAGCGTTACCGTACTACTGTTACCGTGGGTTTTACTGCACATGCTCGATTCGTACCGGCGTCACGTGCCTGAAACGCGTTACCGTGGAAACGCTTTACCGTGATACCACGGCGTACCGGGGCCCTGTGTTTCATATGGCGGCGCCCACGCTCCGCCACTGCAAGCGTTGACGACACGATTACTGTCTCAGAATGATGGAGGAGCCATTTAGAAACACTCGTAGCAGCAAATATTGCTGGAGTAGCATTTTTAGTGGTGAGAGCTGCTTTTATAACCCATGTCCAATCGCGGCAGTGACGCCAATAGCGGAACCCTAACAATGTCTGGAACTCAGCGCGTGTCCTGTGCTTCGCCAACCCCAGCGCGTGGCTATGATCAACATTGGACAACTTTTTCTGGCATTTCAGAAGAAGCGAACACTGCGCGTGCACACCTTTGATCGGTGCTCAAGGTCCGCGAGCGCACGGGTATCCTTAGCTTTGGCCACCGTGGCTTTGGCCTCACTGCCTGCGAGGGATACACGCGGATGCACGTTCAACATTCATTAAGGGGTATTCACACGAGGGAGAAATCCCGGGGATTTCTCCCCGGCACGCGCGCATCACGAGATGAAAACGCGAGGCTTTTGCACATCGCAAAGCCTAACGTTTTCGTCGTGGGGTGCGCGTGCCGGGGAGAAATCCCCGGGATTTCTCCCCCGTGTGAATACCCCTTTACACACGAACCAGGATCGTTGTTCTTGGAAGACGATAAATGGGAGCTAGTTCTGAGCATGCGGTGCAAACAACGTCCAAAAATACGGCGTCCCGCAAGTACCACCCTTTTTCTTTGCAAACGCCGCCAGGCGGTGCTCCAGTCTTTGACGTCGCAGCGAACTTCCGGTTTATGAAAAGAATGAACAAAGCCCGCCCCAACACCGCCGCTTAAAACGTCGATGAAACATTAAACCACCAATTGTCCAGGCAAACGCCAAAAGAACCAAGAAGCGCGAGATCTGGTCAATTCTTTTTGATTATTCTTGCAAACTAACCTGTCTAATCCAAGACGTTAAATCGTACAGCCGAAGGCCCTCGCTAAATCTCGAAGTTTGTCGTCCGTGTAGCATTTATGCTTGCAGCACTGTGGTCACATAAGTAAGTTCGACAGGCTAGCAAAGACAAAACGACCGGAAGTCGCTTGGGACGCAAGCAGCGGTTTATGCTTGTAAACAGTAAAAGGATCTTATACACCCGGTAGCTTCGTTCCCTTTATGTGCGGGCTAAGCAGAAGCTACAAGCACGGGCGTGGCGTCCTGAACGGTGCTTGAGATCTATGCGCGCACATACTTGGCAGGCAGGCCGTATACTACGTCACGCGCCGAAGGCAAACGCGGGCCGCAGATTGGACAAGATTACTCGTAGTGTCACTAATTTAGACCCCTTTCGAGAATCAGCTGGAAGCTGTGAAATCCCTGCATAACGGAGAGCTTCTGTCTCGACGGGTTCATTAGATTATGCATACAATAGAAACACTATCGCAAACGCCAAATGCGTGAAATAAAACCAGAAACAAAAAGGGAGGGGTCACGACGCCATAGAGCATGCGAGAATCGATCTTCTGGTCCGAACTCTTGGCTTCGAACGGAGCTTTGCCACCATCTTGTCCCGCGTGAGGACCTTGATACACACGCGGTCCTGTGGAGTGATGACATCTCGGCCGTTTCGACGCCCGGATACTATAAATCTCCGAGCGAACCCTCTGCACTTTTGTGACTATCCTCATGACCGTAACCAACGAAGCCGCCCTTGGCTGTAGCGGAGAGAACACGTGATCCGCAGCACCTCCACTCCGCGGGAAAGGAGCTTTTCCAGATGTGGCAACCGTTCCACCGACGTGCAAGAGCGACAGCGACGGGCCGAGGAAACTTCAGAACAACGTGAGATGCGTTCGCGTCAAGCTTGAGAGGCAAGAAGCAACAAGAAGACCAGTCAAACGGACCAAAAAACGGCAACTTGTGCTGCAACGCGATCGGGACACCAAGAAGGCGAGGATCTCTCACGAAACGGACGAAGAGCGTCCATTTCGGCTACAAAGGAAGTGGGTCGCTAAGCAGGCGAAGGCGTCTAGCGAAACGGACGAAGAGAGGAAACTTAGTGCGCCTAGATGTCAGATTGTTTCCAACTGCTCTATCGGGTTCGAGCCGTTCATGGCCCGCATCTGGAATAAGAAGCTAAGAGGTGGTGACGAAAGCGTTTTCAAGCACTTTTGTCCTTGTTACTCGACAGTGCAACGCATGCGAACATGCGACCAATCTGCGTGCGTAGGAGGCATCCGTTATTAAATTGCAAGCACTATCCATGATTTGAGTTGTTCCTTCTCTTATAGGCTCTCTCGGCAACTTCGGCTACAATTCGAGCGGGACGCCAAGCACGCAAAGCGGCCATCGGCCACAGAACGGCGCAATTACGACCGAGTACAAACGTACGTGTTGGCCAACATGTACTTTGAGAAGCAATTCCTCGGAATGTGAGACCAGCCTATGCCTCCAGCTGGACGTCAGTGCTGTGGAGGACCGCCTGGCGGGACAGCGCCGTTGCCTGGTAGACGAGTTCGTGCGAGTGCGTGCAAGGCGAGCCTCGGTAAGATTCCTCGTCTGTCCGCTGCACCGCACTTCAGCGACCATGTGCACAACGATTTCGGTGACAATTATTCTTTATTTTATGTCTTTGCGAAGTGCCCGCTTTGGTTCTGTTCGTCCCCGGATGCCGTCTTCCGAGGGCTGTATTTTGGTGCATGCTGGAGACTGAGTTGAAGGAGGCACTCCCATAAAAAGGAGCATCTCCGCGTGCTCTCACCTGTGGGCCGGCGCGGCCCTGATGGCGGCCGTGGTCGGGCGGCGGCAGCAACGGCCCGGCGGGCGCCCGTGGAGCAGGCTCGGGACAGCGCGTGCCCCTGTCGCGTGGCGCGGCCCTGGTCAGACGTCGGTCTCGAGCGAGGCAGCGCCGTTGGCCTGGCCGGGCGCCGGGTTGGCGAACAGGGCGGCCGCCGCGACGGCGTCGTCGTCGAGCTCGAGCACGTCGGAGTCTGCCGAGTCCGAGTCCCCTTTCAGCTTGGCGGCCACCACGGTGCCGGGCAGGTAGGGGCAGCTAGTGACGTGGTTGAAGCTCTGCGACTGCATCTCCTCCTGGTCGGTCTCCCGGTGGTAGAAGTAGTTGAAGTTGGACACGATGACCGGCACGGGCAGCGCGATGGTTAGCACGCCCGCGATGGCGCACAGCGAGCCGACGATCTTGCCCCAGACGCCGACGGGGCGCATGTCCCCGTAGCCCACGGTGGTCATGGTGACCACGGCCCACCAGAAGGCGTCCGGGATGCTCTTGAAGTAGGAGCGGTCCGAGTCCGCCTCGGCATAGTACACGGCCGACGAGAACAGAATCACGCCGATGAAGAGGAAGAAGATGAGGAGCCCCAGCTCGCGCATGCTGGCCCGCAGCGTGCGCCCCAGGATCTGGAGCCCCTTGGAGTGGCGCGATAGCTTGAAGATGCGGAACACACGCACCAGGCGGATCACTCGCAGGATGGCCAGGCTCATGGCCTGGTTCGAGCTCTTGTCTGGGGGCAGAAAGCCCGGGCCCTCGCGCTCGCGGGCGATCACCGTGCCCAGCGTGATGAAGTACGGGATGATAGCCACAAGGTCGATGCTGTTCATCACGTCCTTGAAGAAGGCAATCTTGCACGGGCAGGCGCAGAAGCGCACGAATAGCTCGAAGGTGAACCACACGATGCAGCACGTCTCGATGAGGAAGAACGGCTCGGTGAGCTTGGGCACTTCGTCCTCCACCACTCTCGTCATGTTGTTGCCCGCCGGATACATGCGGTAGTGCTTGAACTCCGGCAGCGTCTCCAGGCAGAAGATGACGATGGACAGCAGGATGACCACCACCGACACGATGGCCACCACGCGCGCCGCCTGCGACGACTCCGGGTACTCGAAGAGGAGCCACACGCGTCGTTGAAGGTCGCGCCCGGGCAGCGGACGCTCCTCCTCCTTGATGAAGCCCTCGTCCTCGCGGAATTTGTTGAACGTCCCTTCGCCCAGCTCGTAGAACTTGATCTCCTCGGCAAACACGTCCAGCGGCACGTTGACGGGCCTGCGCAGACGCCCGCCGCTCTGGTAGTAGTACAGGATGGCGTCGAAGCTCGGCCGGTTCCGGTCGAAGAAGTACTCGTTGCGCAGCGGGTCGAAGTAGCGCAGCCGACGCCCGGGGTCGCCCAGCAGCGTGTCCGGGAACTGGTGCAGGGTGCGCAGCTGCGTCTCGAACCGCAGGCCGCTCACGTTGATCACGACCCGCTCGCACAGGTCGTGCTCGTGTGGGATGGGCTCGAAGTTGCCACCGCCGCCGCCCGCGCCTCCAGACGGCGACACCAGGCCCGCACCGCTGAGGGCCGCCTCGCAGCCGCCCGTTGCGTCCTCGCTGCTCAACTTGGGTAGGGACCTGCGACAGAGTACGTCTCTGCTGAGCACGCCGGCCGAGCACCTTTCGCTGCCCGGGAGCAGAACCGCGACACCGAGTACGTGCGAGTTGGGCACCCTGAGCTCGCACAGAGCGAAACCGAGACTAGAGGAGGCAGCACAGTCATCAAACGAGGGCCCGTTGAAGTACCAACTAGGTCAGATCACTTCAAAGTAAATCAGTTGGGAGTCAATACTCTTTTTTCTTCCTCTGTGTTTTGTGCGCTGCTTTATCGTGTTGAGAGCCCGCTTCCCCGTTCCGTACGGAAAGGAAGTCCTCGAACGATTGCCGGAAACACCACGAGGAGAGACCACAGCCCTCGACCATGCGCGAAAAAGTGGCGATTCAGGCGCCGAAAATGGAAGACACGGGATCCGTGTCTGTCTTCAAATCACCGGAGTTCGTTGTCGAGCGACTGTTCACACAAGAGACACTCATTTAAGTGTATGCGATGGTCACGGTAACGATGCCGTTCCGACGATGCGCGATTAGCTCTGCATTTAGGGATGAAACGAATGGCGGGCACATTATTTTTGCGAACCGTGGATGTCTTTCACTTATGTTCAAGGCGCTTCGGTGGGAAACTTATTCCCCGATTAACGTCGAGGAATTACGTCGAATTGCGTCAACAGTAACCGCCAAAAACAGGACACGTGTACTTACCACGTTTTTTTTCGTTGTTGGCTCTGCGCGCACACAGACAGTTCGGAAATCAAACTGTATTTTCATTTTTCGTCGACAATACGCACAGACTATCTTTTCCCGTTTCTTCTCACAAGCTTTTTTTTCTTAACAAAATTTCCAGCTTAAAAACAAAATTTTATTAAAAAATAAAACTAGATGAGTGCGAAATTTTGATTTTCGAATTCAAATCGAATATTGATTGCTCGGATTCCTTATGTGCGAGTTGCCGAATAATTCCGCACACCGAGCATCACTACTGCTGTAAAAAATAATGGTATATCCAGGAACGCTGTTCATAATGTGAAATAGTCTTCTTAGACTGTTTTCGATCTAAATTAAGTCTTCATTCAAAAGCCTCGAATAACAAATCATTTCGACATAAATTACTGTAGTTTGTTTCCTGTATTCCTGAGACGCAGTAGTCAAGCTCCTGCAGCTTCTTGGATGCGCTCGACAAAAACCCGTAAATCACGGATATCAGCATTTTGAATTCAAGTACCTCGCGTCACCTGCAGACAGCTCTGTGCACTATAAACCTACGTCGTCTTGTTGCGTCCATAATACGACTACTTATTATCAAAATACAAATAACAGCCAAAACTGAACCGTTCTCTTCCCCTGTCGCTCCCCGCTGCGTCAAGAAAGGTGCCACATATGGCTTTATAATGACGCTAGACGTCACCCGATACAGGCAGCCATCAGAGCCGTTTATACTGAGAGAGTTTGGCCTTCTTAAGGAGATTTTGGCAGTCTGACAACCACAGCAGCGTAGTCTGACAACCGGGGGATGACTACTTCCGTCCGCCATATTGTGGATCTGACTCATAGGAACTCTACGCGATTTCACAGGAATGAACAAGACAAAGAAGTAACGCCATATTGTGTTATCGCGAAATCCGCTGGTTCTAGCGGCCAACAAGCTCCGCCCATCGGCCAAACTCTCTCCTTATAAACGGCTCTGGCAGCCATATATCTTCATTCATGCAGAACGATGCGTGTCCGCGTCAACTGTGTCTTAAGTTTGTCGTTTAAGAGTGATTTTTATCTAGGATCTAGGCCGAGGTGCCCATCAATCTGACCGCAAATAGGTGGGGGCGCCGTGCAACCAAAATTCCAGATGCGCGACAAAAAAAAAATCTCACAACTGATTGATCATTAGATCCCAGATGCTTGCTCCACGTGAAAAAAAAAAAAAAAAAAAAAAAAAACAAAGGTTGACTCTTAAGACCGTTTTTATTCGTGCAGTTTTTCTTCGTTCAGCAAGCACGAGAATAGGCACGTTCGGCTTGTCTTTTTCTAATCAATGTGATTTTGTTGTTGTCTTTCGAACATTGGGAATAAAATGTTTGGTATTCGTATTCGGCTCGACATTCGACATTTTTAGCCGCAAATCGGCTCTAATCAATTCGAATTTGATTTGAGTTGAAATTTCAGTTTTCGCACACCCCTAAAGACAACATATTTTGCACTTCGTTGTTTCGTAATAAATTCGCCCCGAAAGTTTCTGGTGTCGTTTATGGAAAGTTATTATATGCGAATGAGCTTAATTTGTTTTTAAATCAGCATTTACTGATAACGATGATATATGGTTCCAAGTTTTCAAGCGAACAAAGTGGATCGGACTGACTGTAACTCAATAATGCATGTTTAATTGACTACTGAATACATTTCATAGTAAACAAAAATGCGGTCCGGAATATGATACACAACCTTACACGAAATGGGCATCCAAATATTTACACGTCTTTTTTAGAGACTCTCTCGAGCACGCAGTCTTAATTGGCAGATGGAAGAGAGCAAAATAATTCAGTTACGCAAGGACGAAGTCTGAAACAGATAATATAACTTCGGGCCCAATCATATCTAAATTATTAGAGCAAACGATTTTTAAAGATATTTCATCTCACTTATATAAGAATACTCTCATTTTTAAAAAAATGTGCATAGCTTTACAGTCACTCTCCACCATAACCCAGCTCATTGAAATCATCCACAAATTGACTGAAGAAATTATTAAGAGGGATCACGCCGACGTAATAGTTTGAGTTTGCTAAGTATTTGATAAAGTATGTGACCCCAAAAGTCTGAACGAAACTTTACAACATAATTAGAGAACTCCCAGTTCTAAATGGGACAACTGCCTAACTAATAAAAGATAAACTACGTGTTCATTACAGCAAAGCTAACTCCTACAAGCCTCCCGTCACATTAGGCGTACCTCAAGGCTCTGCGAATGGACCCCTTTTGTCTTGGTTCACATAAATGACCTAACGACTCACATTAACGTTTCGCTTGGGTTGTTCTCAGGTGACTGTATCATACGTATAGAACAAAAGATGTATAACAACGAGACTATTAAATTACAGGAAGCACTGGAAAACTGCTATTCGAGCCTGGACTAAAAATGGAAAATTTGAATAAATTACGATAAAACAGCTGTGATGACTATGCCATGTAAACAAAAAAAAAATCCTAATTTAATTTAATTTATTTCTAGACTCGGGGTCTCCAAGCCCCGGCCCGTGGGCCAAGTCCTGCCCCCGGGGGACTTCCGGCCGGCCCGTGGCTGGTCACAGTCCTTGCAATGAAGCCCGGCCCACGGCCCGCTTCCAGCATGCTCGCTGCTACCGGCGCAAAAAATAAGCGCGCGTAAAGCACGGGGTCACACAGCTCATGCATCATGCACAGTCTGTAAACACAAGTTGGCAGACTGTGTATATGATGCAGAATGTGAATATACGTGTTTTGAATGTCGTGTGCAAAGTTTCTTCCTTGAACTCACTGGCATGCGGCATTCGAAGTGCACGGGTCTCGCGGTGACTCCCGTTCGAATCTGTATGCAGACTGCCTTTTGTATAATGCGTAAGCAGTGCGATCCCGGCTTAAAGAAACGGAGCAGAAACGCGCACCTTCCCTCTAAACTAAGATACGCAGTAAAAACGAGAGAAAAGTGTCTATCGTAAGGCGTGTCTTCTCGTCATATTAATTAAACGTGCCCATCCCCAGCATCAGCATTCTTAGCTCTCTTGTTTTATATCTGTGTAACTACGTATGTTAAAATTCTTTCGCATTCCCATGTGTAGTGAGTGTGCTTAGTGTCTCGTGTTGTATCAATTGCATATCGTGAACGTCAGTTCCATCATTCTCGTTAATCTTTTTCCTTGCGTAAAGATGCCAACTTTAATTCATGCCTGGTGAGTTTTCTGGCTCCCAATAATTGTGTAATGTCATACACTGCTAAATATTGGATTCAAAATGAAGTATATGTATTCATCCGCTTTAGTTTCTTTTTTTATTTTATGCTATATTTTACTTTTTTTTTAATTTAAGAACTTCCCTAGGATTATGTATTTATTTACTTATTTATATTCCGACCCTCAAGACCGCGAAACATTTTGCCCCTTTGGCAAAATGTTTCGCGACTCAGGTTCTACTCAAACGATTTGTAAACCGAGCAGCATAAAGTTAATAGACTACAAAGTATTGAAAAATTTGTTTCTCGGTTTATTTTTTAATACTTTTATCGCCAGATCATCATCCACTGATATAATTTGAAGAACTAAGCTTCTGAAGTTACGAGCAAGAGCTAAAATTGATAGATTAAAAACTCTTCACAATATCATTAATCGCTCCCTACACATCGATAGTTCTAATTATCTAAAACCTCTCATGGTCCGGTACTCAGGGTTAAACCGTTGTCGAGCATAAAAGAATACAAGTTCAAGGACGATCGTTTTATACGCTCTTTCCTCCCCCGGGCAATTCAAGACTGGAACGATTTAACTTACCATACGGTCACTCCAGCGCATTTTGATCATTTTGTAGAGGCGACGGAGTTGCTCTTTAGTTAGCTTTTTCTATTAGTACGCCATTGCATTTTTATCTTATTATTTTTGTAAGCACTCGTACAATCGTTCACTTAGTGGAGATATTAGTATTCCTTAATAAATAACTAAAATAAATAAATAAAATAAAATCCACCAAGTTAGACCACGGAAACAGCTAAAACGAAGTTATCTATACATATTAAAAGGAAAGCTCGCTTATATTTGAGGGGAGTGATTGCTCCCCCTCGACCTGATACTATCTGACGTTACAGTCCCTGGAGGAGGTCCTCTAGTTTCCATCCTGAGTCGTTTTTCTCAGGAAATACACAATTTCGCAAAGAAAAAGAGAAGGAAAGACAGAGAAAATGACTGGATAGTGTCCCGTCACCATTAAATCTTCCTCGAAAAAAAAATCTCACGAAATACCCAATTTTTACTATTATAGTGCATATTGTCTCTCTCTCAAAGGGC